TAAAAATAGTAATACGGTTTCATGTATTTTACAAAAACTTACTCATTTTATGCTTTGGTAGTCACTGTATGCATATTCGCCCTCTGAAGGTAAAATATTATTAACACTAGTAGTTATAAAGCAAATTATGTAATTTTCAGTAAAGTTTAAAATATCATATGTAAGCACTTGCTAGTAACCACTGAGAGTGCATATTTGCCTTCGAAATAAAACATAATTAAAAATAAGAAGAAATGCAATTAGCTGTGTAAAAAGCTTTTGCATTCAAGATACGAAGAGAAAAATAGTTGAAAAGAAAGAACTGTAGATACTGTATATTGTTTTACATGCATAACACGTATGAATACGTGTTTATATGTATTCTAAATAAAATATGTGACGTCAGTAAAGGCATTAAGGAAGGGTGAAAATTATGAATATAAAAGCTGCATCAATCTCATTGTAAGTAATATCAGTTTAAACGTGTGTTGAGAAATTGACGCAATTCTCTTTATCTTGTTTAGGTGTCCATAATGAATTTTATCGTGGTAAGTACAGATCTTTAATTAATTTATTTATTTCATCTTGTGAAAATGCCCTCGATTTTTTAAGAGACCCTTACTAGTATTTTATTTCCACACTTTCCATGAAATAATAGAAATAAGCAGTATTAGAAATATCCCTTAAATAAATGCCAGATTATCCAAGCTGTAGATTAAAAATTGCACAAAAAAAGAAGAAAATTAAACTTATCTTGCTAATAAACTGTTCAAGTTACGCCAAATTTTCCGAGGTTGATCATAATTTGCTACTCCTTCTTTTACTGTTTTCTTATGAATGTAAGAAACATACAAAAAATCTCATGCAGAAGGCAATACTTTATTCAGTTTGTAATTTTTGTACCAGGCTCAAACAGTATGTAAGTAAATAATCATTTTTTTTTTATTGTAACGGTATGTTTTCCGTAAGTATATCTAGTTACAATACCTCGTTAGAACGATTTGATGAAATTTTAAAGTATTCAGGATGACCTGAAAATAAAATTTTTATAAACAATTAATAACTCAACCTTGTAAAGTGATCAGTTTTGTATGGGCTCCAAGTAATTAATTTTGTTGCTCATACAGTTTCTGTAAATGCACGGCATTAACTGTTCGATATGGCGGTACCCCCCCGATTGCTAATTTGCTGAAGTTATTTCGAAGAATTAATGGACTGTAGATTTTTTTNTAACGGTATGTTTTCCGTAAGTATATCTAGTTACAATACCTCGTTAGAACGATTTGATGAAATTTTAAAGTATTCAGGATGACCTGAAAATAAAATTTTTATAAACAATTAATAACTCAACTTTGTAAAGTGATCAGTTTTATATGAGCTCCAAGTAATTCATTTTGTTGCGCATACAGTTTCTGTAAATGCACGGCATTAACTGTTCGATACGGCGGTATCCCGCCGATTGCTAATTTGGTGAAATTACTTCGAAGAATTAATGGACTGTAGATTTTTTTATATATACAATTTTATTTACACATATACAAAGTCGATTAATGAATATCATAATTAATCATAAGGAATAACTTTGTTTTGGATTTCGGTTAATATTTTGGGTTTTAAATTGATTATGATTTGAATCGAGAATTGGACCTGTTTAAAATCTAAACAAAAACTTTTGGGTGTTTCATTCCCACCAGTCAGTAATACTGAAGGGGGGGCAATCCCTCCAGATTGCACCAGAAGGTAGTATAATTTATAATTTACTTCACCCCCACAATAAGGAGGAAAAAAGTAGAAGTGGTTCATACCTGAAAGTACATCTGGTTCTGAAGTTACCAATTCAGGATCAACCCTTCGAGAAATTTAAAGTCTGAGAAAACCAGATAATAAAATTAGTTTAGCTAGTCGGAAGACTTTGCATTTACGACTAGGAAACAACATCTATTTACAAAATATACAAATGGGTACATATTTCCATATTGTCGGAGATGAATAAAGCAATAAAATCTAAGAATTATACTAAAAGTAAACATAAACTGGAAGATGTGTTTGTAACACCGAACATTAACAGTGCTTTTAATGCTAACACACGTCTACAAATGTATATGTTTCTTCTTTTTTGTGCTATTTCGTTGTATATATTGCGCATAGTTTGTCATATTGCTCACTTTAAGCTCCTATTTCATATAGGTACTTGGTAGGCGGTTGTCTAAAATAAAGAATTTCACCTATTCTCTGTGATAGGGTGAAAAATTTGAAAACCTCGAGGAAGATAATGTAGTTTTGGTTAGAAACTTTAAAACCAATTAACATTTGGTGACTAGAACTATACTGATAAATATTTACCGTTGACTGTACCATTGCAGTATAAGTAAGTTTGTAAGTTTCAATGTAATTGGTAATCTCCGAAATTAACTCATCCGACTTCGAAATTTTTTTATCAGTATTGAAGTTGTACACTTTAAAATGGCCTAAAGACATTAATAAGTTCGTGATCGGTAATTTATCGAAATAATCAGGTGTAAATTACAATTTCGAACTTCTCGATTCTCACCTGCAGACCTTGGTCATTTCGATAGAAAAATCGATCAAACCGGGGTTGATCTATGCAAGCAAATTAAATAATAATACAATTAATAAAGCTGGTAATAAACTAAATCCATATGATTTTCGGTTAGTCCTAACCTTCAAAAGACGCGTCTATAAATTTGACGGCTGTCGGATCATTAGTTTGTGAATTATAGCATTTTTAGTGAAGCAACTTTTGTTATTGTGAAAAAAATGGATAAAAAGGAATTTCGCGTGTTGATAAAATATTGCTTTTTGAAGGGAAAAAATACAGTTGAAGCAAAAACTTGGCTTGATAACGAATTTCCGGACACTGCCCCAGGAAAATCAACCATCAAGGATTGGTATGCTAAGTTTAGACGTGGTGAAATGAGCACCGAAGACGGTGAACGCAGTGGACGCCCAAAAGAGGCTGTTACGGACGAAAACATTAAAAAAATCCACAAAATGATTTTGAATGACCGTAAATTGAAATTGAATGAAATAGCAGACACTCTACAGATATCAACGGAACGTATACATCACATCATTCACGAATATTTGGGTATGAGAAAGCTCTGTGCAAAGTGGGTGCCGCGCGAGCTCACTTTTGACCAAAAACAACGACGAGTTGATGATTCAGAGCAGTGTTTGAAGATGATCACGCGTAATAAACCCGAGTTTTTGCGTCGATATGTGACAATGGATGAAACATGGCTCCATCATTTCACTCCGAAGTCCAATCGACAGTCATCGGAGTGGACTGCACACGATGAACCCGCTCCAAAGCGTGCAAAAACGCAACAGTCGGCTGGCAAGGTTATGGCGTCTGTATTTTGGGATGCGCGTGGAATAATTTTCATTGACTACCTTGAAAAAGGAAGGACCATCAACAGCGACTATTACATAGCGTTATTGGACCGTTTGAAGGACGAAATCGCCGAGAAACGACCGCATTTGCAGAAAAAGAAAGTCCTGCTTCACCAAGACAATGCACCGTCTCACAAGTCAGTGAAAACGATGGCAAAAATTCATGAATTGGGCTTCGAATTGCTTCCGCATCCACCGTATTCTCCAGATCTGGCCCCCAGCGACTACTTCCTGTTCTCAGATCTCAAAAGAATGCTCGTTGGGAAAAAATTTTCGTCGAATGAAGAGGTGATCGCCGAAACTGAGGCCTATTTTGAAGCAAAGGACAAATCGTACTACAAAAATGGTATCGAAAAGTTGGAGGATCGCTATACTCAGTGTATCACCCTTGAAATGTGTTTTACTATTTTAGGCCGGGGACTTTTCAATTGACCTGTTATATCTCATAAAAGCTTCAAAAGTAAAATATTTTATGAAACAAATTAAGTTATTAAACATCATGGCATAGAAAAAGGAGTATATTGCTTTGAAAATATTTATAGTGATTGTAAGAAACCAATGTTCTGGCATAAAAAATTGCTATGAAACTTCATTACAACAAGTTCTTCCCCCTTTGAGTCACTGTGAGCTCGAAACATTAGCACCATTGCTGCGAGTGGTCGAAATTCACTTTTGGGAACAATTTGTTTAAAAAATGTTTGAAAAATTAATCTTAAAGGAATTGTTTGTAAATAGATATGCACCACATCGTACATTGTAGAATAAGAAATTGCTGATACTAACTACGGAATACTATTTTGCCCTGTGCTGACACTACTCATAATTTCTTTTATATACAATATTAATGGAATCAGAGCCAACCGTTTATAACTTAGCTGAATCGCTTCCTGGAATTGATTTTATCAACGATTGTCGCTGTAAATGTAATCTTGCGCCTAAAAGATATTAACCATACAATTTGGCAGTGCTATCTTTATGATGACCAGAGGTACAAATTTGTAAACAACCTTGCTCGAATAAATATTTTTTTATCCAACACGGTGTACAATCTTGTTACGGTATCTAATTTTAAAATTTGTTCATTTCTACACAATTTTATTGATGAATGTAATCTCAGTTTCTAATGTAATTTATATACTCTAACGTGAGCTGTATTGACTTCCCTGTGAAGTCAGAAAATGCTAATTAAATAATATAATATATCTCTATCAATAGATATTTACTACTTTGAAGTACTATAGTTAGCTGTAATTTCCTATCTGTAGAAGACGGTACACTACTTCATATCAATCTTATCTGCATGGAGTGACTTTATTTGCTGCATATGAACGCATATAGATAGTGGGCTGATGGGAGTCAAATTGCGGTGCATGTTTCGAGGTTTTGTTAAATTCGTGGTCGAGAACTTAACATTTTTTGTACGTAGTAGGCATTATTGATGTGAAATCGGAAATTTCATAAATGGGACATCATCATCATCATCACTAAATACGATCATCAGTCCTAAAACTTGCTGGGCATGCACTTCCACTCTTCCCTATCCTAAGCTAGTCTCCGCACTTCTCTGAAAATATTAATGAGGAATAACACACATACATTTATTGTAGATTTCCACAACCGTTCTTATGATATTTGCTTCTTCTACAAATGTATTTGGCAGTGATCAAGATGATGTAAGTGTGCAATCATAAGTTCAACAAAAAATATTATTTTAATTTACCTTTTTGGTATCTAAGCATCATGGTGCCCATTACCATTTCGACTACTCTGTCCACGCTCCTCACACCGGAGACAAAAAGGCCCAAACGGAAACGAGGGATGGTAAATTCTTAAAAGGGTCCTATACGCTTCATGAGGCTGATGGTACGAAGAGAGTTGTGGAATACGCTTCCGATCCATATCACGGATTTCAGGCTTTGGTTAAACGACTGGGACATGCCGAACATCCCCACCATGCTGAAAGTCATGTTGGTGTTACTCATTGGGGACATTTTTAAATTTACTGAACTTTCATACTCTACAAATTATTTAATAGAGTACATTGTACAATTGTTACAGGCATAAAGGGTTGGAGTAATTGTAATAACAGGACTAATAAAATAATCAAATAAATACCGTAATGATAAATTATTTTATGCATTTATTTATTTTCTTTATTTGACTGAAAAGTAATTGTTTATCGACGTTTCGCTAACGTCTATTTAATGGTTTAGCTACATCTTCAGGAGTTCCTCCGACGGAAGCCGATCCTTATATGTAAGTTTCTTGAGTCAGAATCAATGAACTTTCTAAAGATTTGTTAAGGGTTCAGTACCTCAGGAAAAGGAGAAAACTGAAACCGTTTAAGTTTGCTCATGTGTTCGTTGGTTTCTTTGTCTATTTACAGCTCCTTTTCTCAGAAAATTTTTACAATGGAAAATTAGACATAGTAATCTTTATGGTGGTAACGCATATAAACCTTCATATATCTCATTAGATAATAATTAATAATATAAATATACACTGATTAGTATTTTGAAGAAGGTTGATCAATGAGTTTATTATTCTTAAGGCTGATTCTGATCTGATTCGACTGGGCTTGAACCTTGACGAAACTCTTGTACAAACTAGAATGGGTGGATCCGAAGTAAAAAACACCAGTATCTAGCAAGCAGGAGTTAGAGATAGCTTTAAATAACATGGATGCGATACTGACAAAACAGTACTATATGAATATAAATAAAAGTAAAACAAAACTACTGATTTGTAAGGGAAGAAAAAGTAGAGAGTTTACTTTGTATTTTAAATGGTACGGTAGTATACTTCTACTATCAATTTTTCTTTTTCTTTTAAGCACCTGTATGACAAATGAGTTGTGAACAAAATGGTTTGTTAGTGTGTACAAGCATCCTCTGCAAGGAATTATTAATGTCATCCACTACATTAACAGTAAGTGTATATAAGAAAACACTACTCTGGATAAATATAGTCGTCTTTTATAGTAATATTGGTGTGATGTGCGATGTTCTAAGCCCCATCCTGCCTTCTCCGAAGCACTCATTCACCAACTGGTATAGATAGTCACTCAGTAACTCGCATTGGAAACAATATAACGAGGAATTTGGCGAATTGGAATGAAGTAAGTTGTGATTACAACTCCTTCGGCGGTTTTATCTGCTGTCGTCGTAAATTTATCACATTCATCTAATATTCGCCTTGAGATCTATCTTAACTTCCAAAATATCGACTCACAACAGTGACGCTGCATATCTATCTAATTAAGTTAAACGAATCTGGTGACTTGGAATTTTTCGATAAAGTTATTTATAGTCTGAAGATGTCAGAAAATTCTACACTTGGAATGCCACCGACGACATTCATTTGAAAGGCAAGAATTCCAGTTGTTCTTTCTTCAGAAATTGAAATCGTTTGAAGTGGCCCATGTAGTAGCGGTAACAATCAAAGCATCGCGTAAAAGACAACCTTAAACAATTTATAAGGGTAGTACATGTAGAAAAAGAATCTCAAATTGCCACTGAAATAAAGAAGTGCCCAGCATTATTTGACACTGTTTAAATTATTTGTGGCGGATCGTGATGAAACTGTATATGAGGGATAATCTTCAATATTTAATAATGCAATTTAAACCTGACCTTGAATTGGTCTAGCCGGAGTAAGTGGTAAAAAAATGAGCCAACTTTCTACAACAATAACAATAATAAATGGGATAATGTGTGTAATGAACGATGAGAGTTCGCCACTCTTAACCTAAAAACTAGCCTTAGAATAAAAAAATTGTACAAAGCACCCTTGTTGAATGATGCCCCACCGGATGTGCACCATCATTACCACAGAGATAGAGACGTTGAGAGTGAGTCCAGTGGGAAAAGTAGTGCAGCATGTTGTCCACTTTATTAATATGTCGCATTGATAATTGACGAGTTATAAAAACATCTAAGAATGTCAATTTTGTTTTTAAAATAATCAAAATTGAGTTGTAACCCTTCTTTTACTCATTTATATGCTTTTAAAGGGTGTACAGGTCATTTCAAATGGTTAGAGATGCAACCTTGAAGAAAGCTGTGCGAATAGAAAGAATACACACTAGGCGTGAGTAGGACAGGTTTGGACGAGATAAAATATGGTTGAATTTAGAATTTTGCCACGGCGCGTCCAGGAAAAGAGAAGGGGCGTATCTCTAACCATTTGAAATGAGTTGTAGTTTTTAATGATTTTTATCTAGTCGTTTTCCTTAACTTATTATTATTATTATGGAAGATAAAATAATTCGAAGTGGTCTGTATTCTGTCGAAACTGTCAGACGCGGATCGCGATTTCGTACTACAGATGGAGTTTACCGCGCTATTTGTGGTATTTTATAAAACGCGTTGTTAAGACAGCATGCAAAAGTTGGTCTGTATTCTGTCGGAGCTGTCTGCGACGCGCTGATGAGATCCAGAAAGATCGAAATCGCGATCGGCGTCTGGCAGTTTCGACAGAATACAGACCACTTCGAATTATTTTATTCGATTATGGTAACGTGCCTATCACGTTGAGGTTAGCT